TTTTATAATAATATATATTTTGAAGACTAATACTAATTCTAAAATTGCGTAATCAATATTGATATACTTGAGACAAAAGTCCATTTAATTCCATTTGATTACTGGCAGTATCAACTACTGAGATCAACGCTTTTCAATGATTTATTTTTTAGTTGATTTTCTAAAATTTAAACTTTGTGCAAATATTTCAGAGGTATTTGTCGTTGCTATTACAGATGTGTGATGATTCTAGCCAATTTTGAATGTTAAAAAAAATTAAGTGTGGGTTTCCACCTGTAGTGCGTAATGCCTCAGGTTCAAAAATCAAAACACAATCCACTGCCAAAACTCGCAGGTGCAAAAATTACGCGTAAATGAGTCAGTCAGGCATGGCTCGTGACATCCTTCAAAAATATCAAAAACGCATACTTTTGCTAAGTTTTAAATCGCTTTTAGTTGAAAAAATGTTTTTTTTTGTGGTAAAACACCAAGTATTAAAAATCCAATTTTTAAATTCCTGGGGAAAATGCGGGAAATTCTGTTTTTCGGAAAATGCCAAAATTGGTTCAAGATTGAGCATAGGAAAAGTGGAAGTGTGTATCCCTAGCCAGTTTTCAGGCTGACTACACTATAACGAGTGGAACGAACGAAACCCCTTCATTACCTCATGTATTGCATCCGCACAGGACTCAAAATATTCCAGTAAATTCGAACTCAAGTTGTCGTATACAGGAATTCTTGTATACTTAATAACGTTGCTTGGTAGAGGGGTGTCGGGGAGCTCTGGGGCAACATTGATAACGTATCTTATATCAAGAGCTTCCAGCACAGATGGACTTAGAGACATTGCACCAGATAAATAGAGATTATCCGTTATTTTTGATATATTGTTCAGCGCCAGAAGGCAATTCCTTTTAATCTGTAAACTAAAAAAGAAAATCGTTTTAGAAGATACTCAATATATACGTAGACAAAATTAAAAATGATTTATCAATATGAATTGATACCTCATGTTCCTGATATTTTTAGCTAATAAAGGCGTCTATCTAATGCTGGGAAAGTTTACCAGGTAAATATGTCAAGAGTTATCGTCTATCTCTTTATAATTTCAAATTGACCTAAAAATAATTAACAGCGTCGCTGTTCAGTCCTTTGTTGGGATTATAATGAAGTAGGCATGTAAATTAGATCTATTTTTGACCTTACACGTTTTTACCGACATTCTTGACATTTTATTATGAATGAGTCACTTGGTTTACCGCACTTACGATTATCTAGGAGCCAGGAAGTAAATTTATTTTTTTGAATCTATCGAAATTCTTGGCACCGACCAATGTTTAGAGGTAAGCTGGCATTATAAATGTTATTTTCGATTTACATGGTCGTAAATAATTTCTCTACAACCGCAATATCAAGGTGTGTATCATACACATAATGTCAGTCGAATTATAAATTTTTATTTTGCAACTTTTTAATACCAATGTATCAACGAATTCAGTTGTTTCACTCCGTAAATAGATCAAAGGACAATCGAACAACAAATTTCATGATTTTATAGTTCGCACATTAAGTTCTCCGAGTAATAATTTATCTTTGCGTGAAAAACAAATTGCGGTTGTTCGTTTTAATAGCTAGAGTTTAAAGTGAACAGTTAATATGTCAATAAAAATTTAACAATACAATGAGCTTTATCTTCAAAGTTTATGTAGGCGCACAAACTAAATAGCTAGCTGTATTGTACGTTTTTTTTTTTCGATTGACTAATTTGGAAAATAGGAAAGGATTTCAAGAAATTGATTGGAACATTCCTAACTATCCTAAAATTTTAAATGGAGAAAAATTAATAGTGATTTAATTGTTCAGATATCATCTATTACCTATTATGGAAATTGAAGTTGTTGAAATATTATATATCATTATATCGTTTGTACAAAATTCTATTTTTTTTGATAATCTAATACTTCGACATCTTTAATTTTGGCTAAATAATGAATGGATTATTCGTAGGAAGAAAAAGAAAGATAAGACAAACTTGATATGAAACGTTTAAAAATTGGTATTTACATGAAAAAATTGAATATGATATTTCACCTAGTAATTCCCGTTTTATTCTAAATCATTTATCCCATGTACAGACCTTAATTACTACACGAAGAATTTTCTGAATGGGTAGGAATAATAAGGATTATATATGTATATTTCAGCTTAATGTATTAAAATATCTGATTACTCATTTCTAAAAGATGTGTAATATTTTTATTATTTTGGATCAAATCTTTGTGTTCAATTACACATTCTTTGAGGCTGCGTCCTGTATAATCAATGTAAACTGCATCACAGTCTAAACATTTTATGTTATCATTTAACTTTTGCACTGTCGGCAATTTTATTTTACTATAATTTAACTAGACTATGTAATCGTCCACTTATTGACTTGTAATTAGTGTAGGTGATCACAAAAACTCTATTTGTGGCATAATTTTTAAATCTTCATTGGGTATTCCCTCCAACCCAATCTTCGTTGTGTAGAATTCCCTTTTGGTGGCATAAATTTCAAATTCCTCCCAATTCAAACTTCGTTCTGTAGAATTCTCTTTTTGTAGGGTAATTTTCAAATCTTCATTAGGTGTTTCCCCACTTCAAGTGTTTTTTTCAGAAAACAAAAGTTTCAGAACTTGTAACAGAGACAGCAGTAAATTTATTAACAAAGGTCACAAATCGAAGCAGTTTAGAGTAATTGTGAATGTCAATGTTATTAACATTACTCAATAAATTATGTGGGTGCATGTGGTAACCATCGCCGTGTTATGTTCAAAATGCATGACAATTCTTTGAAACCCTTCAACGATCCAGTATTTTCTAGTATAGTTGTTAAATGCTGCCATTAATCTTTCGTAACAGTATAATGATGTTTGCTGTCTATATACTGACCTCCAACGAAAATTATCCAGCGGCACGAAGGTTCTGCGCCCAGTTATTCGACCTAATGCATTTGTTACGAACGGAATGCCAATTAGCTGTTGTCATACGAACGAAGTAAAGCGTATTGAAGGAATGCACCCAGTCAAAATAGAACGAAAGTTATTCTCCACTTAATTATTATATCTTGCCATTTGAAATTTACATTTTAAACCCGCAAAAATTATGTAACCCGACAATGTCGAATGGCTGACCTCAGTTCCCCTTACAATATCGATCCCTTCTTGGTCACGACAACCCTTATTTCAGGATAATAATCCTTTCCCGCTAATGCATACAATTAGTGTCAGAGCATGCTATTTCTGGGGTGATGTAAATTCCGTCCGGAAAATTTTAAAGGAAAAACATGGCTCCAACAGCACACTTCGTTCGTGTTGTTTTTCCTACCATAGCTTTAGCGTGTCTAAGATGTAATTGATTAAAAATCGCATAACATTTGCCACCCCCATTAAGTGGAGGTATACACCAGACTGAATTTACGTATATGACAGTAAGAAAATCCTCAGGGCGGAATTAACACGGGGTGGATTTTCGCTATTTCTACCACTAAATTGAAGATTAATTTCTGTTATGTTAGCTTAGTTTCTTTCATTTTTATACTTATTTTCAAAGTTTAACAAAAATGAAAACATATTTTTGTACCAAATTCAAAGAAGAAGTTCAACTTTTTTAAATTTTCTAAACATCACGACAACAAATGTTACTTTATTTAACAGTTCTTATTCTAATAATTAAAACTTAGATAGTTCGTCAGCTAACTGTAAGTTGAGTTGAGGTACTGTTTGCTTAATAGAAATAGCTTTTTCATTTACTATTTTAATTGACTCTAGGTCGTTAAATAGTTTCCTGTCGAACAGAAATAGCGATATTTACCTACATGTTTATAGAACTCCAACAATGTGTTCTCTTAACAACAGAACTGTTTCAGTGCGAAACATTTCTGGATCATGACAATAATGTGTTCAACAAGAACATAATTTTCGTAAATAAATAAAACTTAAAATTTTTTGGCATCAATCAAAAGGAACATGAACGACAAAAAGCAATAAAAATTTTACAAAATGAACCGTTTGAGAATGAAAAATTACACGAATATTACAAACGTATGTTTGAGGACCATAAAAAAGATTTATGCTTTGCTTGTCCTTACAGTAATACACTACTTTACCTTATGATATTGTTTGTAATGAGTAAAGTTTAATACATACATAATTTAATTTTTATCATAAATTACATTTGTTGTCTTTTTAACGGTGTACACATTAGATAAATATCATGAGAAAATTGTTAGATTATTAAGTAAACACTGTTTTTATACCTTTTAAATTCGTTAAGAAGTCATAATTAAAACAATATTTCTGTACAACTACTGAAGTCATTGTTTAAANAAACATCTGACTGTTTAATTAACGTGAGGTAAATGCTTAAAATTATGGAAATTTAATATATTAAAATAATGTTATCAAAAACTACCTTAGTGTTGTTCACCCTTTCACGCTGCTGTTTCTTTCCTTCCTTATATCATGATGACTTTTGTAATCTTTCGCGTAAATGTCCGGGATCATCATTTTAAGGTGGTCATTGAATACCAAAGATATAGAATTCGAGCTGTACAGGGTGTTTTCGAAACTTATGAGTTGATTTATAAAACTACAGTTGGGCCTAACGATTGGTCTTCGTTCTTTGACGTAATTGTAAGCTTGCAGCAAGTTGAATTTGTTGTATTTCATAACGTATGCTATGCATATACTTGCTGATCGACTAACTCCAGCTACGCAATGTACCAGGACATTTCTGTTGTTGGATGCTTCCTGTAAAAGAATTAAATAATTTTATAATAAAGTATAAACTTAATAAAGGTTGAACCATCCACGACAGAAATGTGTTGTTTATGACTTGAAAGGATAAGTGATTTTTATGCATTTGTTGATGATTTTATCGTAAATAAATGCCCTTAGTTCTTGTAATAACAATCCCATACAGAGGTTTTTTCTGAAGCAAATATCAGCAAAGAATTGTGAATTTCTGGCATGCATCAGAATGTAAAAATTCGTTGAATTTTTGTGTTAGACTAAGACTGGTTTATTTTTTATACTTATGATTGCTCGCATTCTTTTCAGCGTGAAATTTATTGGATCTTCCAATTAAAAGGGTAGTCATAAATAAGTGGATAAAAAAATACGTGGCGCCACTAAATTGCGGAATACTCAAAGTGAATCAGGCCAAGTCTATTAATTATGAATCAAGATAAATATGTACGCGAAACCCTATAATCAAAAGCTCGCTATTTTTGTGACTCATAGGTAGTCATTATTTTTTTGCGTATTTATCTATCAACCGCAAATTTCAGATATTTAATGAGTTTATTTGTTCTGTTTTCTATGCCCTCTGTATCTTTTAAATACATCCTGTTAAATAAGGTCACCTCCTTATTTTATTGTTTTATAATAAAAATGTGTAATTTGTCTACCAGATGCCACTGAAGTATACTTTCGAAAGCTTTTTGTTTTTTAAAGCAGATCTTACTGTACTAGCAAATATTTTCAGATGTATGTATAGAGTCGGTTCAACGTGAAGTTTTGCAATAATAAGCAATGTGACTGTGCGTATTATTATTATAGTGTTGTTAACTAAAGACTGCCTGAAGTACATCTAAAGGTACTGCTAATTACAATTTTTGCAATGTTTTCATTCATATTATTAATATAATAATACATATAAATATAAGGTGGTAATCAGAGCCTTATGATAGCAACGTTGATATGAAGCAGTCTAGTAGTTATTTACGTTTGAAAATAATATATCTTTAGATTGAAACAAAAGTTGAAAAAACTTCGCTAATATTTATTTACATTTGATATGTATTATATTGTGTAATATTTAACCCTGATGATGTCGTTACAAGACGAAATAAATACCTACGTCTCGAGTTGGAAATAAATATTAATGAAATTTTTTCAATGTTTGTTTAAATTTATTTGTAGCTACTTTGTTCTGTTTTACCAGGTGAT